TTAATTATATCAACAATTATTTACTTCCTTTTTTCATAAAAAAAATCGCTCGTGTTTATAAATTTTTAAATTTAACGAACTAATTTATTCAAATTATTGTAGACAAAAATGCAACCATGCGCCACAACCACATGTTTTTCGTGTTTGCAAATTCTTGCTGGCACAATTTTTTCCAGCAAGAATTTGCAACTTCTCTCCAAGAGAACTGTCACTTTGCTCTCACAATTTTTGAGTGTTGGATAATTTTTTGGTCTGCACGAACGCGATTTGGGCAAAAATCGTGATAATTCGTACAAATTCGTACAAATTTTTTGCTCGACGAACAAACCTAATTTTGGGTCACTAATTTATTTACAAATTGGGTTTGAAATATGCCCTTTTTTGTAAAATTCGGAAATTAGCGTAAATTTATCACTCCTATTCTCCTTAAAGCAGCTACATCAGCAATATATTTTTATATTCTCCTTCACTTTACACTTTACTCGATGAGCTATAACTTTCTTTATAACTTTAATATTAACCAATTAATCACAATTTATTAAATAAAAACACCTTCTGCTTTTCGTAAAGTGGCGACTGGCCCCTTTCGAATGAGGGGGGTTTGGGGGGCCACGCCCTCTCCCCCTCCGCCCCCCACCCCAAAAACGATGGGCCAATAACTAAACATTTCCCCAATATTTTTTTATATACACATTTTTATATACAAGACATATTTATAAAACACCCAGTAACCAAAATAGACATCACTGGGGCGGCAGCCCCAGCTTTATCACACAGAAAAGGAATTCTAGTTACCTCATGAACGAAAGACACAAGATCACGCGGGAAGGAAAGAACGAAAAAAGTTATTTTCTAGCTGCCGAAATCTCGACGCCATCTTTGTTGTCTTAAACAACGAAGAGAACGGAGAAAACCGCGAAATTGTTGAACGCATGAAAAATCATTTTTATTATGCAAATTCTTCTATAAATCATGCCGTTGTGTTAAATTATTCTTTATCTTACGTGTACACACGTTGTCACAAGCGAAAATGAAGAAAATTGCAGTAAAAAGCCACCACCAAATTGTAAACAACGAAGAAATGTAAACAAACGGCTAATGTCAAAATCGTTCAACTTTTTTCCTAAATGCGATTCTAACGGGCTACTCTCATGCCCGCGTGATCTTGTCTTTTTGGTACATGTAGTTACCTCATCCTTTCGCAAGGTTACATCACTGGGGCGGTAGCCCCAGTTAGGCCACACAGAAAGGAGAATTCTACGTAATAAGGGTTATAATCCCTAAGCGCGGCCGAAGGCCGCCTACGCAGAAAGGAATTCTACGCAAAAATACTGTGGACGCAAGTAAAAATTGCGATTTTTGGCCATTTTTGTCAATGGCGGTTCATGCCCTCTCCAAAAAGGTCGGTTGGAGGGGCCACGCCCACTCCTCCTTCGCCCACCGCACCTTTAACGAACGGCCATAATGGAAAGTTTGGGAAATGTTTAGTAGCGCTCACATGGTTTTTGTGGTGGGGGGCGGAGGGGGAGGGGAGGGCTCCCAAAACCTCCCCCACTATAAAGGGGACAGTCACCGCTTTCTATAAAGGCGCACCCCTCTTGGGCTCCTCCCACAGGCCCCTAGGGAACCGTTTGAAAAAGGGGGAAAAACGGAATTTTTTTAGGCTGAGCAGTTAAAGGGGCGGTGGGCGAAAATTTAGTGGGCGTGGCACCTCTAACCCACCTTTTTTTAGAGGGAATGAATCGCCATTGACAAAAATGCAACCCCCGACCACCTAGGTCCCCTATGGTTCCCTGGGGACCCCTTGGAAAAGTTGCCAAAAATCACAATTTTCATTTGCGTTTATACGCTTGAAAAATGTTAAATATTCATTTTTATATACACATTTTTATATACAAGACATTTTTATAAAACACGCAGTAACCATAATAGACATCACTGGGGCGGCAGCCCCAGGTTTACCACACAGAAAAGGAATTCTAGTTACCTCACCTTTTCCCAAGGTTACTGTCGTATATATGTGTGCACATAGATACAAATACTGAACGTAATGAA